CGTATTACCTAATGGTAATATTATACATTACATGCATCATATACATTAATACACAGTCGCGCCGCGCATTCATAGATCACAGGCTATCTATACATCACATCTCCGCAAACAATCCTCGCGCGCGCGCAACTTTTTCGTCGCATGGTAACTAACGAAAGGACTGACGACATATTTAAACCCACCTATCTCGTTCTCCAAAATCCACGTTTTTCTGCAAAAACCTCCATTCGTAACCTTTCACTATTGCCTTTTTTCAAAAGGGTGAAAAGGAAAAAATTCCTTGCATCAAGATACCTTATTAATACTAGCTTGCATCAAGATTTAATTTATAGTTATAATATGGTAGGTTAACTGTGCTACACTTCAGTCTGTTATTATGATCTGTGATAAATTTAAAATAAATTAAAATTTGTCACTGTTCAAGTTATATAAGGCAGTCCAAAAAAGAATTTTAATGTAGCTTGCTTGCATCAAGATACCTTACTAATACTAGCTTGCATCAAAATATAACTTATAGTATGGTAGGTAAACTGTGCTACACTTCAATTTGTTACTATGATCTATGATAAATTTAAATTAAATTAAAATTTGTCACTGTTCAAGTTAAACCCAGGAAACCTTACTGGCCAGGGCCTAACTTCAAAAGTGTAAAAGAGATAGCGAATTCCGGTTTTTTGCAACATGTTCGTTCTGTAAAAGTAACGTCCCCCCCCCCACCACGGGGAGAATTTAAGACAACGTAGATTTTGAGTTATCTTCAAATCTCCAGAAAAGTGTCATTTCGGGCCGATCAAAAGTTTGCAACTTTAACTTTGCAGATTTCAGTACTCTGGTTGGCTGAATTGTATCACGTGCTAGCTGCTTGAACATTGGAATGCGCTACGCGTGCAAATCATGATGATACATAAAGTTTTAAATAACACAGCATCAAATATCAGTTTCGATATTTATTAGATCATTGCAAATTTGAATAACTTTATTGATGCTATTAGTATTAACGTTGAAAATATGTGATGATATTTTCAATTATGTCATGATCTATCAGTATCTCATTTTTCTAAGAATAAGATATGACATATCACATTTTTGGAATGGTGTATTGGTTCATTATGACAAGAAAAACAGTGAAACAAGGATCACATGGCAAAGGATCTGACTCAATTTCAAGATGACGTACAAGTTTGTAACTTAATATATTCTTAACAATGTTTCATATGAACTGGACAGTAACATGATCAGTAATGATAAGAGGACATCACATACAGATATAATAGTAAAATACTAAAACTATGATCATACTTTAGATGAACTATGATCATGTCAGACAATTTAAGGATACTCAATATTGAGTATTACTCATGCCTGTGTTTAATAAATAATACTAAAGAGACTTCTATTTAAACTAATTTTGCTGAAATCAACAATTACTCAACGAAAAGGGTTCGTGCCCGGCACCACCATAACATGGAAAAATCTCATGACTTCATAATTTCATACTTTAACTTATAAAACCTTAGTGCTCGTAACACCTCACAACTTAATTACATTACAGTTTATTGTACTGCAAATCAATATCTAATAGCTTAATAGTAATACTTATAACCAATATACCAAGGGAGATTTCCCTCATATAAGTAACAACTAACACCACTTCAACTTGCTACTCAGGCCACACCCCTCCAAGCTAGCATGGCCCCATCATTGTGCATATCCGCAACATGTCAATCACCCATAATAGATCTGCCCACACTTCAGGCATCCACCCTGACTGCTCAATACACGTCTCGTCCGGCTACTCATCATCTGCCGCGTTCAGAACCAGGCCCTCTGGCTCTAACCCGCGCAGTTTCAGAGCTTCGTTCATAGATCCAAAAGCAAAATACAAGTGCGGTAATTTAATATATTGTGTAATGTGTATTGTATTTCAATTTGTAAATAGTGCGATTCTGCAATCTGCACAAGCGTAATTTGTTTTATGTGCGACAAATTTTTGACCAGTGACCAATCACTCAATCAGTGAGGTCAAAATGAAAGTAACACAAGTAGTTAAAGTACTGGAAGCCAGGAAGCAGTATATCCGGAAAAAAACTTAATGATGGATTATGCCTATGGAATGAAAATTTTTAAATTTTCAAATTTCAGCTTTCCGAGACCCAAATTTCACTGTTGTTATACTTATAGCTATGAATGTCTCCTACTGCTTACATTTGTTGTTCGCCTAACCATGTACTTTTGCGCCACTGCGGGCGCGCTTGTTTGCTCTGGAATCCTGATAGAGCAACATTTGTTGTGAAAATTCTGTTCACTATTTTTGATTTCACTAAAAATGTTGTTGATGTTTCGTCATGAAAAAACGTTTGACCTAGTGAGGGTATGCCAATATTTTCTTATTGTACACAGTAATACCAAGTATACAAATCTGATAAAATTAATAGCGGCAGATGGTGTGAAAAAGTTCGGTATAACTATTAGCCATTACATATCCACAATTATATGTTGCCTCTGTGGAGAGCCAATTTAGACCAACAAGTTATACTTATAATTTCATTAGACAAGGGAGAATATTCGCTTTCTTCAATGGTTCATAACATTTCAATACAATCTAAAATATAAACATACAATTATATCTATAGGAAAAGGTGAATGATTTAAAGTGAAATTAATTAATTATTACTTACAGGTTAACATATGCTCAACATGAAGCTAACTGATAATTAATAATTAATAACTAAAAACCAATAATAACTAATAACTAATAATTATAAATTATTTATACCACTTATTCATTACTAGATACATGCACTGACATTGTCACATTTTGAATCAAAACAGTCCGATCAAGTCCTCAAGACGTCACCATGAGATGGCGAGTTCATGTTTCTAGTCGGAGTCCTCCTCGCAGACCTTGGCTTCTCCTAACAAGACCTTGTCTCTTCCCATATGAATCTGGCATCCTATGCACTTAAAATCCTTATTGTTGAGATCTTTACCCCTGACCATGAATCCTCTCCTTTTGTTGGATTTGGTGGGTAACTCTGTCTCCACATCGTCCAACATCCACGTCACACTTACTTCTTCGCCCAGATGGTTCAGTTGCATGTGGACTTCTTTTTTCTGTGCCTGAAATTAGTTGATTTTTAATTTGGAGCTGTCCCGTGTCCTGCAGATTAAATTACAAGAATGTAATAATTGTATTTGGTTAAAATCAAACAGTTTAAATTCATACAGCATTGCACTGTGTTCCATATAAGTTGGTTCGTTCGTAAATTTTTCAGGAAAAGTGTGTTGTGTTTTAAAGGTGCGTAAAGTGCGCATGAACCAAGTATTCTGTGTTTTGTTAATGAACCCTCCAACTCACCTGAACACCACATGTGGCCCTCCTCTTAGACATTTCCAAATCCACTTCCACGTTGAACATTCTGTGGTCGAAACATCTCACTGCCATTTTTTCAAAATCAAAGCAGTGCCATTTCATTGCATGTTCCTTCGACTGTTTAACTTCTTCGTATTTTATTGCCCGACAACCCATACTGAAATTTTATAAATTGTTTTATTTGTAATTTTGAATGGTTCATTTTGTTACTTCTCCGATTGTTTTAAACAATTCTTCACGGTTATATGTGGTGTGTGCTGTTATAATTCATCCATTAAGCCTACTATACATAGTTTATAATGAAGAAGTAAGTCTAGTTAAGCACTATTATAGACACAATTACCTTTGTGGAAGTGTGTCGTCGTGATCACAACTGAAGTGTGTCCATCCAAAACCACCATTACTCATCGAATCCAAACTCATATCCATCTTTTTGGAAGAGGGTATTTTAGCTCCAGTCTTAAATCCGAGAGTTCTGCAAATAGCTCCGGCTGCATTGTCATTAAAACCATCGTTACAGGCGTACTCCCAATCTCCTACATCTCCATTTTCCATTATCATCCTAGCTTGAACAATCCCGCCGTTTCCAGCTAGTTTTTTCTCACCTCCACTATTGAGCCTGAACTCTAAATTGTAAAAGGTGTCCTTGTGCTCACATCGGGGTACCTCAAAAGAACCGTCTGGTCGACACCAGCCCCAGTCCTTCTTGACGGTATGGTGCATCACATAGTCAGCGTCACACTCGTATCTAGCTCCCCTTGGCATCATTGACATGAACTTCCACTCTTCTTCACTCATCTTACTCTCATCTTCCATGTACTCAGAGCCTTGAGAGCCTGAGTCGACATCCATGTTAAACTTAAATGCAAACGCATTGGGACTGGGTTTATCTCCTTCTTTATCTTCGTCCATTTTGTCCCATTTGTCTTCATCATCTTTCATCATAACTTCAACTGCATGGCCGTTCTCAATGTAAATAGGAATACCACAATGGCCTCCTTCAATGGGTTCCATGCATTCTGGAACATATGCATATCCTTCATAACAGCCAGCAGTGTAGGCCATGTCCATGTATGCTTCACTGGGAGTTTTGCTGTAAGCATCCATGTATCCCTTGAAGGAATGCCTGTTTGGTGTCATTACAAAGGGTGGGTGACACATGTACATGGCATACTTTTCTCCTTCGTGCTCACCCTCCAAGACTTTGTACCCACCCCAAATGAGATCAGGGAAATGGCACTCTCCTGCTTTAGGAGAATCGTCCTGTACCTTACAATTCTCTCCGTCACGGTCGCATATTTCTAGTTCGCCTGAGATGGGAATTTTTAGTCCACGGAAGAATTGTGTTTGATATACCAAGTGCCGAGTGCCGATCTGCTACTTAAAAATACTACCTAAAAATGCATTGTGGAAGGTGTTATTGACAGTTATGACATTAAAAAGCTTACATTTTAATCAACTTACAGTCTGAATAAGTGAAATCCATGCCGCCTTCCTTCGCGATATTCTCAATTTTTGCAGTAACGTCCGCACAGGTAGTTCCTTCAGGCAAGCAATCCCTAATTTCTAATTTTGTTCCTTCAAACGCGTATTTATCTCCGTTTGTGTCTTCTCCTTTAATTCTGAGACAAAATGACTTTAATGATGACAAAATGACTTTAATGATTTATACCTTTACTGGATAAATATATTTATATATATTTAATGGATTTACCTTTACTTACCTCTACTTATCGGATTTTAGTTGGTAAAATGCCAACACCAAATTTCAACATATTGATACACTTTTTTAAATAAATTCTCCTTATTACCTTATCACTTTATTAGCTTAATATGAGTTTCAAGATCTTACCCCATTGTGAAGTGAAATCTGGCGCATACATTCGGTCTCCAACCTGAAGCAACGCACTCTTTTGGTTCTACGGTATCGCTGCCGGAACAAAGTGCTGAAATTACATACCGTCATGGTTTGTAGCAATAACAAATATCAAATATGTGACAACTGGATAATCTAATTTGTTTCAGGGAGTAGCGTTTGATAAATTCACGGCTTACCATATCCAGTGACTTTTTTCCACTCAACATCTACTTCAGGCATTTGCTGTTCAGTTCCTTCACCATCGTAAAATGTAGCAGAAGAGAAGTCCACTTCCCCACAGTGTGGACAACTCGTGATTGGCTCTTCATCTTTCTCATCGTCTTTATCGTCGTCTTTCTTATATACATATTCCTTATCCGATCTATCATGTTCTACACAATTGTCAACCAATGGTTCATCGCATTTTTCTATCACACCTGAAAACATGTTTTAAGTATTCAGGTAAAAATGAGGGATATAAGAATGAATACGAAGGAAAAGACGACTTTTCAAAAATTTGCAAAAATATGTACAATACTCTACCGAAGGACTTTGCTATAATGTGCGTCGAGGGAAGAAATAAATTATACCAAAAAACCGCGTTAAAGGTTATAAAGGGGTTTTAGTTATAACTAGGCTCGGTAATAATGAGGCTAACGAGGTACTAATGAGGTACTAATGAGGTACTAATGATGTTAATAAAGGTAATAATGTATTTCAATACAAACTCACAGTTTGAATTCTTTCCGCCCTCAGGAACAACGAAATGAGGCATGTATGTGTCGCACGTGGCCATCGAGTCCATCGGCAAACAGCCAAGCATGCTTATTTTTACCCTTTCAAAGGTAGTTACAGTTCCACCTTCTTCGTTCTTCACACTAAGAAAATAGTGTAATTTTTAGTCGCATATTTTGAATTTAATTGATAGTTTGAGCTTCGCTAATAATCGTTATTTTAAGTTGGTCGAAGTTTAAAATTCGTGCAGCTTACAAACGTTTTATTTTTTTATGATTTCTTAACATGTGCATGAAAATTATCAAGCAAGCCTTATATTTTGTTTCAGTCCAATACATATCACGAATCCACAATGATAGTCCTGAGCAGTTATTGTGAAATTAGTTCCTGTATTGTATGAATATTTACCTCATTTCCCAGTGAATAGATCCGCATTGAGTCATTCCTGATTCACACAGGAATCTGAAAGTTTGCGGTTTTATATCAAGATCTGTGAAAACTTGAAAAGAATTCAAGTCAACGATCCAGATCATATTATTCGTAATTTTGATGTTTAACAAGACATAATATGTGATATGTCCCATAAATAGGATATATCACATAATGTTCGAGTTTTCAGTTGACAATTCACTTATTTATATTACTACTCACATTGAGTAATGGGTTAACATTATAAATTGCAATATTTCGGCCTTTACCCTTTTTGTGAAGTATGATCGATTTAATAATTGTCGATTTGTGACCAATCCAAGCTAGCAAATTTACTAGTACTACGTATGCCCTAATCTAGGCATACAGCTTCTTTTGCTCACAACTTTGCTTAACACTTACCGAATCCTTCAACATTTTTATGTTCATCGGGCATCACACTCGGATCCCAATCTTCATATTTAATCCCATTTTGGAACATCGTTGAGTCGGACCAGTCCATATTTGCGCATGTCTTGCAGGTTGTTTGAGTACTTTGACAGGAGACAGTACCCAGTAAGGTGATCAACACCAATGTTATTAACTTCATACCTAATTGGGACCAGTCGCTGATCTTTAAAAGATTGTTTGTGTGAAATGGATTTATATTTTATAAAAACACACATATATAGAATGATTTATTAATTTTGTAAACGTCAGCCGACGCGGCCGTCCTTGCTGTTTTTATAAATAGAATTATATGGCTAACGACCGACACAACTATAAGTATATCGCTAACCTCTGACAGTACCCACTGGAATAATGGTGAGAGATACCAGGACATATTTTAGTTCCTAGACCTTTGGAATTCGGCTCCTTGTTCATTGGTAAAGATCTAATTATTCTCCTAATTTGAAGGTAATTGGATTATTGTCTATATCAACAAGACCCCGAATTCCAATGTGCAAGGAAGTAAAATATGTCATTTTAAAGATTAACAGAGCTTTTTATTCCCGAAAAAGAAATATTTTAGCCGGCGTATGATCCCGCCCACCTCATTTAACTGAGATACTAACGAATGATGCAGTGGAGGACAGTATAACGCGGCAGAAATATTCAAGAAGGGTGAACAAGCGACATTAAAATGTAAATTGAATGGGGAAATAGAATAGTTAAACAGAATTAGCATCGTTACATACATCGTATGGAGCTAATTTCACAATATGCTCAGGGCCCTTCTGTAAACAAAATTAAAAACCCTTTGGCGAGTAATTTGGTGGGACCGAAAATGTTTAGATTTAAAATTCGTCCGGATTTCAAAACTGTACCCTCTTCAACTGTACGATCTTATGTTGTGCTTACGTGAACTTATTGCAATTTGCACCTACTCCAGCTAGATAAAACTTCGATGAAAGTGTCGTCTGTCTGCAACGAAATGAAAACTATAGAAACCAATGATAGAACTCGTTGTCATAATAGTCTCTCTCATGACAGCAATTTGAGCCAATCAACATTCTGCAGCATTGACCGATCGACATTCCATAAATCGAGCATCCAGATCTAAATTGCTTTGCTTACCATTTCTGTGAAGCAAATGCTTGAAGAAAAACGGTCGACGATCACATTAAATAAATTTGGAATAGATAGATAAGATTAAAAAAGTGAAAACAGAAGAAATCCAAAATATGGCTTGAAAATCAAAAATAAACAATACAAGAATAAACAAGCACCATCTTTGTTTACACTTTACAGGAGACAAAATTCGATTATTTTCGTGATCGTATTAATTGTGATCGTATAGCCCATTCATTTGCCATGATATCGCTAGGAATGCGAGGGAAGACGAATTTTAGAGCTGCTTCGTGTACCTTTCCTGGGAACAATTTGCTTAACCTAAATATTTGGGTATCGAGTGACGTGGGCACTGGTCTTGTCGTACGTGAGGAACACTTTCAGCCAAACGTGAATTTAATTTATTAGCGAGAAACCTGAATTTATTTTTCCGAAATAAAAACATCACAAATTCATGAACAACATAAACAAGAATTGCGCTCGGCTGAGCTTACCACAAAAGACGGCGAGCTGACCAGCGGACAAGGGTACAAAAACACATGAAAGACTAACAGCCGAGCAGCGGGAAAACAATAAAATCAACGTGTCTTGTTCATACTACATTTATGATATTAACTGCAGTCCGCACGCAAAGCGGTTTTTTCTTTGCAACGGCGAAGTTTTAGTTCCTATCGTTCAGAGATCAGACACTATATAAATACACGTCAGCATACCGACCACCGCGCGTGAATATTTAGATTAGTGACTCAGACTAATCACGCGGCGGGTTGCAGTGACGTCAATCCACATGCGTGATCTTTAGTCGCGTAACTTTGCTAAGTTTACTTCCGTGAAGAGCAGGAGAAGGAGGTCTTGGAGTAGTGGGTCTGGCAGTATCGATGTTTTAAATATCGTAAATAGTTTACTATTGATTGTTACGGGTATTTGCCTCACAGAATGGCCAAAAAAAAGGAAGGTCTCTCAAAGTCACAAAACACACTTTATTCCAGTTTTTATCTCATAAGAAGCTAAGTTGACACTCATATTTTTCTTCCCGGGGGTTCATTTAATCTCATAACCATTTTTTCTTTGAGAAAAATTGGCCGGAAAATCTTCCTCCAAAAAAACATGCCTCACAGAATGGCCAAATCTGAATTTCTATAATTTTGTTGATGGAGATACTTTTTAAATTTCTATCACCACACGTTCTTAGAAAACCTATTAAGGAATGGGGTAATAACCTAAAACTCACGAAAAAACTGAGCTGTGAAAAATTATTTCACAAAAAAGAAAAAATGCCTGACAAAATGGCAAAAAAAAGAAGAAAACGAGAAAATTTTATTTTTCTAAAACCTTTGGCTCTTGTTTCAGGCATGCTGCTGGTATTAATATGCCTTGTCAACACCCCCATATAGGTGAAATTTCTTAGAACTGAATAAAAAGGGCATAATTTCCTACACCAAAAATGGCCATTTTGTGTGGCGTTGTTCATATTCCCTGATTTCATGATTTATAACCTTCATTCGGCTGTAAAAACACTCCATCTGGGGTGTTATTGTATGATAAATAGCTTGTGAATACTTTAGACTTATGGTTTCATTGAATAAAAGGAGTTTTAAATTTTGGCCATTTTGTGAGGCATATTTTGGCCATTTTGTGAGGCGTTTAGCCATTTTAACATTTTGTTTCTTCCTAAATTGAACAATGTTCGTTTTGTTTGATGAATACTATTCTTTAAACATCTTCTGTCATACTGGTGCCAGAAGTTCTCACCAAAATGCAAACTTAGTTCAAAAATTTGAAAACAAATTTTGTGAGGCATATTTTGGCCATTTTGTGAGGCGTGTAGCCATTTTGGCATTTTTTTCTTCCTATATTGAACAATGTTCGTTTTGTTTGATGAATACTATTCTTTGAACATCTTCTGTCATACTGGTGCCAGAAGTTCTCACCAAAATGTAAACTTAGTTCAAAAATTTGAAAACAAATTTTTCAGTGCTCAAAATTTCTACATAAACAGTCATATTTATGCCAGAAAATGTGGTCCTAGTTAATGATTTCACCACAGGAAGTGTTGCCAGAAGACTTTTGTTTCATATGGTATCCACAAAACCTACCAGTCTTTTATGAAAAATAAGTTACAAAAACATTTACAAATTTGGCCATTCTGTGAGGCTAGCCATTCTGTGAGGCATTTACCCGTAATGAACCTTTTCATACATCATGTATTACTAAAACTAAACGTATTTTATTCCCTTTGAAACGTGATAAACTGAATAAAGTCAGAGAATTATATTTAGATAATGTTTTTAATGATAATGTTTTGAAGCATGATATTCTACGCAGACATGCCCATTTTGTGATTACAGATCTTTTAATGTATAAAATTAAGCCGTTTAATGTATGGAAATGCCCTAAAGTTTCTAAAAAGAAACAGAAATTCATGTTTAAAGTTAAATTTGTTAATAAGGCTATTGATATGATAAATTTACCCAGAATTTTCAGGGATAAATCTTTAAAGTCCTATATTAGCCAATGTAATATTAATGAACCTTCAGTTGTATTCACTAACACGCCTAAAATATCTAGTAAATTATTTAATTATAATGATACGGTTAACGATTTTAAGTGTATTGAAGATTATGATTGTATATGTAATAAGCATGAGGAATATATTAACGGCGATTGTAATCATGTCGCTACAGGGGATGTTTCTATTATTAGTAATCAAATGCTAAGGAATATTATTTCTAAAGGGCCTAGTTTCAAGGAACCCGCAGTTCTAGATTTTAATTTTGCTCAACGTACTATTTTAGAGAATTTAGATAAGTTTGTTAAGAGTTGGAGTGAAAAGGAGAAAGTAGCTTTAGTCTGCTTTGATGGGTGGAAGGAGAAATTCCGAGAATTACTAACTGATGCCGTTGATTGTTTAAAAAAGCGATATAAACGTAGCAGTGATGTGGTTTCGGTCTTTTCTGACCCATTTGTTGAAGCGGAGCTGGAATATTTTCATAAATATTTTGTTATTTGTCCCGTGGACAAGGCATCGAAAAATGTCGCTATAATTTGTAAACGTTTTTATTTAGATACCATTTTGAATGAATGTATGACTAATTCTATTTCATATTCTCATATCACGGAATCCAATACCCAGGAGATTTGTAAGATACAGAAAACTTTTATGAAGGATGTGTTAAATATTGATGATACGAATAAGGACGATGTTTTACCCCATATAGTACTTTTCCCTAAATTCCATAAACCCAAGTTTTCTCAGCGGTTTGTAGTGTCTTACGCTTGCTGTACAGTTAAACCAATTGCACAGCGCCTTACTCTTGGACTTAAAGCTGTCTACAGTCAAATTTGTAGTTATTCACGCATGCTGTTTAAAGTGACTGGGATTAAGCGTAATTGGATTATCGACAATAATGCGCCTATTTTAGATTGTTTTAATAGCTATATGGAGTCTGATAGGGCTCGTAATGTCCAAACCTATGACTTTTCGACTTTGTACACTAATCTCAGACATGATGAGATCAAAGTAGCTCTTAAAGATGTCGTTAATTTAGCCTTTAAACACAGTAAGTGTCCGTATATTTCAATATATGAAAGTGGTTTTGCATGGGTCAAGAATCCACGTGAAAACACCTTCCGTTTTAACGTGGATACTCTTATTAATACTATTGATTTTATTTTAGATAATTCATATTTTAGCATGGGGAATATGACTTTTAGACAGATTATTGGTGTCCCTATTGGGGTAAACCCAGGACCCTTTATTGCTAATCTTACACTTTTTTATTATGAGTATAAATATTTAGATAAACTCTATAGGATTGATTATTATAGCGCTAAGAGACTTAATAACACGTTTAGGTTAATTGATGACATTACTACTATTAATTCTGATGGTGTCTTCCAGGAGCATGTAGCCAATATTTATCCTGATAGTTTAACTCTTAATAAGGAGAACACCGAGGACACTAGTGCTCATGTCCTAGATTTGAATATCTCTATAGTTGAAGGTTATTTTATTGTAGAAGTTTATGATAAACGGGACGATTTCCCTTTTAATATAGTCCAAT